AATACTTGTTAGAGTTAAGTTTTTTTTCTTTCATCACCTTCCACTAGGTGGCTTACGACACGCCTCAGTCAGTATCAGTGGCTCAGAAAGCTACAAGAGAATGAAGTTTGAAGCCGGAGTTCATCGAGTGCAGAGGGTTCCCAAGACTGAAAAACAAGGCAGAATGCACACCAGCACCATGACTGTGGCTGTACTCCCCCAACCCACTGAGGTACCGTTCATGTAACAAATGAATGAATGCACACAAAGAGTGAGTGAGCCAACGTGTGGGGTTTTACTGTGACAATTTACTGTTCTTGATGTAACATTGATTTGATTTATTAAACTGATCATATCCTCCTGTCAGATCTCACTCACCATTAACCCTAAGGACCTGAAAATAGAGACAAAAAGGGCCAGTGGAGCTGGAGGACAGCATGTCAACACCACGGACAGTGCAGTCAGGATCGTCCATCTGCCCACAGGTAACTAACACTGTAATAAGATGCATAAAGTGCAGAGTACCTCCCCCTGCAGGTCAGGGTGTGGTGTGACCATGAAAGTGTGTGTTTGTGTTTCTTAGGTGTGGTGGCAGAGTGCCAGAAGGAAAGGTCTCAGCTGAAAAACAAGGAGAATGCCATGAAGGCTCTCAGAGCCAAACTGTACGCCATAAAGTTAGAAGAGGTGACGAGCAAACGCTACAATCAGCGTAAAATACAGGTGAGGAGGCGGCGAGACACAGGATGTGTCGTAGAACCAAATATGATGTTCAGGTGCTCGGTGTTGTTGTCATTTTGACATCCGTGTTCCTCCTGCAGATCGGCACCAGGGGGAGGTCCGAGAAGATCCGCACTTACAATTTCACCCAGGACCGTATCACAGACCACCGGATCGGTATGACGGTGCATGATATCAAGAGCTTCATGATTGGCCAAGATCTGCTGGAAGAGATGAACTCCTCACTGCAGGAGTTCTCCAATCAGGAGGCGCTCATGGAGGTGCTGGGTGAAAATGAACGTGAAGGATTGTGAGTTTCTTTCCAGAGAAGAAGAAAAGGAAGTTTGTGTGAAGGCTCTGTGAGCCAAACTGAGGAGAGAAATTCTGAAATTCTTTTGGTTCTTCTTCTTCTGGTTTCGAGGACTTCAAAGACGACATAAGTGCACCTGCTACAGATTTGTGCAGCCCAAAAGCTGCATAAAGTTCAAACAAATGATGCTAACAGTGACTATTAAAAAAACATGTATTTTTATGTATGTAGTGTCTTTGTCTGGACTGGAATATCACTCGACTATTAAAAAAACATGTATTTTTATGTGTGTAGTGTCTTTGTCTCTGTCTGGACTGGAATATCACTCAAAGTCCTGTTAAAGAAGACGAGGACAATCGTGGCGTGACGTCACAGAACAACGTTAACGCCAATTGTAACACACTTTTAAATAAATATTTAAATAACATTTTTGCATTTTTACAAGTGTATCATTGGAGGTAACAGATCATTCTAGTACAAGTGTATCATTGGAGGTAACAGATAATTCTAGAGGACGTAAATATGAGTTATCTTGCGGTTGTTGAATGGTTGCTCTTCAAAAACAACCCAAATATTACACGAGTCATGTTTTTTTTTCCTACTTTGTTGGTATTCGTTGAGCTCACACTGAGAACAATTTCAGTGGAATAAGTTCTAAATCCTAGCTTTCTGGAACGCAGCTTTATACTTGGATATAACGTCATAAAACTGACGCTTACAATTTTGTACGCGTGACGTCACTCACCAGTCGTATTACTCCCAACTGATTAAGTAAATCGAGCACATCTGTGTTGAGAGTAGACGGTCTGTTCAGTCCGAGCCGCAGCCTGTTAAGCATCCGAAACGCGTACTCTTACGTCACACTATTTACGTCACAATATTTATATTTTCACGCATGCTAAAACATTCAAACCTGAAGATTTGAATATCCCAGCCCGCAAACGAACCGTTAAACGTGTACACGCGCTGGCCTTTCACGATAGGACTACATCTCCCAGTACAATGAAAGGCCGAGTAATCGAGTGCTGAGGTCATCGCTCCGCTCATTTCGCCTACTCTCAAAATTTTCCCAGCAGTTGCATCCTGTGTACCAGCTCAACAGCTACCATTAGCAAATAAGGCAGCTATAAGTCATTGTTTTCAGGGAAGAAACGTTTTAACGATGTCAGAGGCTACTCGTTTTTATTAAACAAGGACTAACTAAGGGGATTATATTACGGTTTTTCCGCGTTAACGACGCCCGTGGAAGAAAATATCCCTATAGAAAGTCTTTTTTTTTTTTCATTTCGACCGTGTAGCTGAACGGCTTCTGTCTTGACGAGCGGAAAGCTCCGCTATTCTTTCTCTCGTACCGCTGGCGGTTGGGACTAAGTCGGTCAGATGTTGGACAGTAACAAAAAACCTCGGACCTTAAACGATCTTACGCCGAGTTTTAAAGCGGAGTTGTCGAACTGAAGCGTTTGTTGTGGAAAACGGAGGGTCTATTTATAAGAGTTGGATTCGCACCAAACGGAAGGAGGAGTAGGGGGCGTTTGGAGAAGACCCAGAGGAAAGAAAGGGACGTAGGGGCAGAAGAAAAAAACCTTACTTCCAGTGATGGCAAACGAGCCGATCATCTTGAATGTTTATGATATGGTAAGTAAAAGGATACACAGTGTGTTTTAAAGAAAAAACAAACTTATTTTTCTCTAAGGTTTACTGTAAGTGAACGCAGCCCTGCTATTGTTTTTCCACCCAAAGAGAAACTGTATTGTAAAATGAGGAATTCTACGGTAAAAGACGGTAATCGACTGTAAAGAACTCTAGTCGAGGACTGAGCCATATGTTCAGAATGGGCACAAAGCACCGAGAAATTCGGCACATATTAAAATTCTGTGTCAACTATCCATCTGTTCATTTATTCAAAAATGCACAATGCTAAAGTGGTTAGCAGAAGGAGTTCCACGCTGATAAGTGCAGTGAAACTCAGCGTTAATATTTAAATATTGAATAAACATCTGGTACATAAATACATGCTGTTTAAGAACGTGGTCAAATATGATCAAAAAAGTAAAAGTTAGAATTAATCACATGTTTTAACCAATTTACAGTTGCTGCTGCTTTAATCGGTTACAAAAACTAAAAACTAAATGTTTTAACCAATTTACAGTTGCTGCTTCCTTAATCGGTTACCAAACTAAAAACTTCTTGTTTTTGATTATTTTGAGGCAGATTCCACTTGATCTTAAATTTATAGACAAAAATGAATAGTTAATGCTCTGTCTTAGATTTTTCTTTACTTTCCGGACCAGTTAGTGCATTAAAACAATACGGTCTGAATGTCTTCCTGTCAAGACACGCTTCAGTATTAGGAGGTGACTGGAGATCAGAGACAAATAGGAGCCGTTTCTTTTTTTCTTTTTTTTTTTTAATTATTGTTTACTTTTCGGTTATTCATTTTGTTTCCACCTTCTGGAATTTCAGTTCTCTTGTAAACCACCCTGATGTGAAACCACAGGTGGATGTGAAATTTCACCCTGCAGACGCTGTGCCTGGAGGCTGCATGTACATGTCTGGCTTTAGGAATAAGACAGAGGTCAGACTTGAGTCATTATGTTGTCACCATGCAGAGGTTGAGTCAGAGTGATTGGGTAAGGATGTATGTTGGGGGGGGGGGGGGGGTCGTGTTGTTGAAATCGACTGCTCTGTTGATGAATCATTGATCAATATTGATTCAGTGTTGGGTGGATTACGTATAAAGGGCGATCTTGTGTTGATAGATCATACATGTATCATCACAGACCAGAGGTCTAAGCATTTGAGTTTTATTAGGTTAATATGGATGGTAACGGTATGTCAGTAAATAAGAGTCTGGTGACCACCGTGCCTCTGTCTAAGACTAGTCAACATTTCAAAATAAAATACAAACCTATGTGTATATTTCTGTAGTTAAGAATAATAATAATTTTACTACTAATACATTATTATTATTATTATTATTATACATTATTAAATGTGTAAGGCAACCTGACACCAGGGCTGTATATACTGTTGTGACCCAGACAGCACTTTCAAGTCACACACATTGAATATTAATGATCCACTACATTTACTCAGACATTAGATACCTAAGCAACCTACATGTCTTTTTTTTTTTTTTTTTTACTATTTTGTGTAGTGTCACACATCAGTCCCCGACCCTGAAGTTGACTTTGTTTACAAGAAGTGGGTCGGTCAAATCAGCTGGATATGCTGACCATCACATATTATCTCGCTTATTAGGATGCTTAATGAGGAATGTGTTGGAATGTTACGGCCATGTGCACAAACACACACACTTAAATGTTACGCTTTAGCCATTCAGTCACTCCACAGTCAAAGTATCAGGAATATCTGACCCATCTTTTCTAAGATTTACTGCAGTTTGATGTTGTTTTTTTATCACGAGACAAACATGTGATTTATCCATGAGCAGAATTAAATCTAAACGATGACCTTTAGATGTTAATAACCAGTAACCATAACTGTAATGAGCAGTTACACACTGTTGTAATGTTTCAGTGTCTTGTACTGTATATTTGGAGGAGAAGACAGTCTAAAGTTCTTTTTCTTCCTTGATGATTTGTTCAATTCGATTACAAAAATGTTTGACTGGTAAAATCCCAGCGGCCTGTGGCCGAGCGGTTGAACGGTTAGTCTTGTGATTGGAGGGTTCACTTACAAACGCCACTGCTCCTCAGGTGCTCACGTGTCAGTGTGTGCATGTTAGCGTCTCCTGCTCTGTTTCCAAAACTAAAATAACTCCTGTATGATGATTTCTATCGGCCCATCTGGTTTTTTTTTATCTCATGTCTTTCTTCTCTCCTCCCCCCATGATGACTTCTCCTTTCTCTTGTTTCACTTCACTTGCTGTCCACATTAGCTGAGACCCTTGAGGAAGAACTCTTATCTCTGGTCTGTTGAACATGTCAAACTGTTGCAGTTCACACTTGTCCTACTGTGCACATTCATCTCTGCACTGTCTAGAATTTGTTTTTTTTTTTAGAACTACTGTGCACATTCATCTCTGCACTGTTTAGAATTTTTTTTTTAGATATTTCTGTAGATTCCAGCTGCTGTAGGACGGATCTGCAGCACTGCTCAGTCAGACACATGATCCAATGGCTGCTGTCCATCCAGTCCTCCCTTCATTCATTCATTACTCCACTTCCTGTGTATTGATTTGTGCGTTCAAATGTGAGCCCTGTAAGAAACGTCATAAAACATGTTCTGCTGATGGACTCTCAACCGTGTGACACATGCAGTGGCTCAGTGTCTGATTGGCTGGTGGGTTTGTTGGACACCAGGTGTGGTGGAGGGTAAATACTGCAGGTCTAATAAAGTCAAACTATGGACACACATTCATTCATGGCTTCTGGCCAATGGAAATAGATAGTCGCCATTCGATCCCGGTTTGAATAGCTCCTCAGAAGACATCAGTCCAAGGTGTTTGTCACAGTCCAGACGCTCACCTGATCCTAGTTATTCTAAAAAAAATCAGATAACGGGTCAGTTCCAGTTCCAGTTCCAGATGGATGAGCTAAATACTGACGACGACACTAATGTTTTATTGTTCTGTGATAATAAATGACCTTCATAAGATCCTTTTCTGTCCAGTGCTAAACGGTTCAGTTACTGGTTGGTTGGTTGGTTGGTCAGTCGGTTGGTTGAGAGGAAGAGAACAGGAAACCTTAAAGACCAGATAAGGGCCGCCAACTCTAAACCCTGTCACTGCAGAAGGCAGATGCAGATTGTCACGTCTTTCAGAAAGATCTGTTCAGATCAGGACCAGTTTTCCTCTTGCGTCGCTCCCCCACCCCCTGTGTCCCACTCCCAGCTCTCCTTAAGTGGATTTCCTGGCCAGCTCTGAGTGCATTAGGGCGCTGCTGTGATGAGACGCTGTTATTATCTGCACACCACCGGTCTGCCTGTCTGTCTGCCTGCCTTCTGACGGCTGTGTCTGTGGAAAACTGTGGCTGGACGTTCAATACTTGAGCAGAACTATGCTGAAGGTCTGATTTCTCATTTGTCTTTACAAGATGGAAGCACGTGTCCGGGCTCAGGAAAAGACTTCAGAGCCGTGGCAGTGATGGCCTTGGCTCCGGGCGTTGTTGTGATGTCACACCTTACAGCAGTGGACTACACAGCACAGTTACACCTCCATACTGTATATTATTAACTATGTCATAACTAGGGTCGTCTCCACACTAATCCTTTTTTTTTTACAAACCTATACCAAATATCATTCCAATACTTAGATTAAATAAACTAAAACTGTCAGAGAAACAGTTTTAAAATGTGACCTTTTTAGTCCATGGATTTACTCCAAACCCCATTCTTCAGAATGAAGTTGATGATTAAATTCCCAGGCGTGTCGCTGCGACTTCCTGTCTGTTCTTTCATATTTGTTGGCTCATGTTTTTACTTCATTCATGAACACACACGCTTGTTGTTGTGCAACGCCGCCCTGTTGTTGAGGAGGGTGATTTTAGGAAGTTTGAACGCTGGGTGACGTTTTTTGTGTGTGTGTACTTTCCTGTGAACATCAGGGGGATCTTAACCCCCGGGATGAGTCAGCAGCGTGAGGCCCGTTCTGATGTCACTTCCTTCATTCAGACCTGGAACCTTCCCTTATTTGAAGTCAGTCAGTTGTCAGAGCTTTTGAACCGTTGAGCGAGCGACACCAAGAACATCTTCTTGAGCTAACGCTGAGGTGTGGCAACCATCTCCAGCACGCAGGAGTCAGGGAACTGCAGTGCCGCTTTGCCACCACTAGACTTGCATTGTAAATGTAAAAATGTGTGTGAACATCAAGAGAGTGTGATTGTACACAGACCTCATGTCACAGCAGTGTTTTCATTTCTTCTTCATTCTGCCGTTGAATATATTTTTAATCAATGGTGTCAGCTATTCAGAATCATTTTATAAAAATAAAAAAAATCTTTGTTTTGTGCTGGTATTATTTGTCATTACACAGTGATGCGTTCAGTGTGTGTGTGTAAACAGAAAAACCTTTTTGTTGTTCCAGTACTGGATCAATGAGTTCACCAGCTCTCTGGGCATCGGGGTGTTTCACTCAGGGATCGAGGTCTACGGCCGAGGTGAGGCTCCCCCCACACACACTGGACCACCCCCCCACCCCCTCCTCCCACCTGTCAGGTCGTCTGCCCCGACCATACACTGAACGTCTCGGTGTTTTCTGACTGACGTGTTTCTCTCTGCTCTGCCTCCAGAGTTTGCCTACGGCGGACACCCCTACCCGTTCTCAGGGATCTTTGAGATTACACCGGGGGATGCAACTGAACTGGGCGACACCTTTAAGTTCAAGTAAGGGTGAAAATAATGATGTGTGTACGTACGAGTATAAACCTGACGAAAGAACAGAGACAGAAACATTAGCAAAATACTGTAATACTGTCATTACTGCGACACTTCTCAGTTGAATATTATTTAAGTTCATTTGACTATAATGATTTTGTGGGCTAAAGCCAAACTAATATTAAACAGTTCTAGGACTAAATTGGCTCCTAGTCTGTCGAGTTCTTCACTAGACGCTGCTGTTTTCGTGTGTTGGTGTTTTTTCGTCGTCTTCTTCGTCGATTCTGTGCTGCTCTGTATTAATTCTGCTCTAGTTCATCTGCCCTGTGGCTTTGACACACTCACACACACACACACACACACACACACACACACTCACACACTCACTGACCTGCAGTTACACACATACAGTACACTGGAGCGTGCCTCCTTCACACAGGTCACTAGTCCGTCTGTATGAAGGTCAGTAGGTCAACTCAGGTCCAAGAAGACATTTATAACATTTTCATTCTGTTGAATCTTCTCATCTGTTTGTTAAAACTATGAACCGTGGAAACGTTTGTGACGTTTCTTCGTTGGTCTCTCCTCAGAGAAGCCATCGTCCTGGGCAGCACCGACTTCACAGAGGAGGACGTGGAGAAGATCGTGGAGGAGATGGGGAAGGAGTACAAAGGCAACGCCTACCACCTCATGCACAAGAACTGCAACCACTTCTCCTCAGCACTGTCAGAGGTCAGTGTTCACTCTCACAGACAGAGGGAGACAAAGAGCGCAGAAGGTTAGAAAGACTTCACTCCAATACAAATCCAACACCACCTCAAGATTTCTTTTAAGTTTGTTAGTTGCAATCCGTTAAAGTGACCACAAGGAGTCATTACTCTGGGAAACACACTTCTGCCTCCAACCCAGTTTCAACCCATTTAAACTCTCATCACACCGACACGCCCGACGCCGATCAGACACAGCGGCAGCACATATGAGTTTGAAAGTGTTAATGTAAATTAAATTATTAAAAGGCGTTAGAGGAAATGTTTAAAAAAATGTGTTAAACCACAGAGGGAAGTTACAGTCGAACTGGGTTGTTTAAAGGTTCAGTTCAGAAAAATAAATAATTTAATTTAAAAACAACAGCATCAAGTGTTAAAAAGATGAACTGTTAAACAAACTTAGTTGTGTTTGTTTCTTTGAGCAGCTTTTTGGTCTCAGGCTAAATGTAAAAATATCTGCCCTCTGGTGGCTCATCGATGGAAGTACTACACACCTTCCTTCTGCTGTTTGGTAGAATGTTGTTAAAAACCAGTTTTTCACAAATTAGGGGGATTTATGACAGTCAGGTGTTTGAGGTAAATTCAAGGTAACAGATACGTGTGTGTGTGTGTGTGTGTGTGTGTGTGTGTGTCTCCTGAGCAGCTTATCCTGGTGTGACTAATGAGCAGAGCGTCTTAGAGTTCAGCCTTGAGGTTGGAATTAAAGGACACACTGACACACACATACACACACTGATACAAGTCCAGACATGCACAGCCTGCTAACACACACACACACACACACACACCCACATAGACACAAACATGAAAACATGCACAAACAATGTCGAGTTTTAAAGTTGGGTCTTGATTTGGACCTCTTTGTTCTGGAGCCCCCACCCCCGTCGACCCCCCCCCTCCTCTGGGCTCACTGTTAGATCTGAAGGCGTGATGTCATTGAGACAAATGCAGCAAATGTATGTAGTCATGTGACCCTGGACATCACACGATTAGCAACAATGCTACCGACTGAGGTCATGAGAAAAAAACTCCTGATCTAACACACGACGTGTGACGGAGAACAGTCGCACAAACTGAAGAAGATAAAGTCACGATGAGGTGCTTTACTGACCTCTGCTGGTCAAAAAGCCATACATTTAACATTTACTCTGTATATTTACATATGTTATACACATATCATATGATGATCGATCATACGTGAAACGTGGAAGTATCGTCACCAGGTGGCACCGCCCTCTACTGAGTCCTGCGGTGTTAGCATGAATCGTTGGAATGGCTGATCATCCATCTTAGATTTTTCGTGGATATATTAGGCGTCGCATCTTTGCCTGAACAGATGTGACGCTTCAGTTGTGACCGACGATCCAGCGAGCTAATTATTAAATTATTTGGACTCAGCTGCTGGGACAGCTATATTAACATCTTTTCCTTCTTCCCACACCTCCTTTGCCCCCCCCCCTCCCGCCCCCTCAGATCCTGTGTGGCAGGGAGATCCCCCGATGGGTCAACCGTCTGGCCTACTTCAGCTCCTGCGTGGCATTCCTCCAGAGCTGCCTGCCCAAAGAGTGGCTAACTCCGGCTGCCCTGCAGTCCAGCGTCAGCCAGGAGCTCCACGGGGGGGCGGGGGAGCTGGAGGAGGCCGAGGACGCCGCCACCGCCTGCCTGTCTCCCTGCTCACCCTCGCCTCCCTCCTCCAGCCCGTCCACCGCTTTTCCGCATCATTCCCGCTACCAGCCGCGTAGGTAGGGGATGCCGGTAATTCCAGCTGGCAAACGCAGACCTGGACAAAAGGTTGGGAAACAGAAAAGCCGGCGCGCAGCGGCTGTGGAGTCAGCCTGCCTCTGAGCAAGGCACTGAACAGCATCATCCAAATCTGGGCAACGACCAGGAGAAACTGGAATGGCTCATCAACGTCTGCCACTGACAAAGGCAGAGCCCCGCCCACATCCTGCCTCCCCACTCAGGATGAAGGCAGGGTCACTGTTTAACCAAAGTAAAAAAAGAACCTGCAGTCCCGGCCATGTCCAGAAGATGGAGCCCAAACTGATGACTCCGCCTTAAGAACTTCCTGTTTCCCAGCATTTCCCCGTCTTGTGTACTTGTTTAACAAACTGTATGACTTTGAAGTACAGTATTTTTTCCGCGGTTATCTTCGTTTGGACCTACGTCAGATGCCACTGCGGAGATGGAGTGACATCACGTCTCAGTGCTAGCTGTAGCTGACCTTCGGCTGCTAAATGTCCTGCAGCAGCTCCAGTGGAGACATTTCCAGATGGTTTCAGTTGGTTGAGTTCAGAACTCTGAATACGTTTGACTCTAAGTACTGTGTCTGCTCAGAACCTCAGGTTTGTGTTTGTTTTCTCTCGGCAAAAGACGGATGTCAGTCGACGCTACTGTGAAAGTAAGATTTCTTACCATTTTTTTTTTTTTTTTGTCCAAACATTGGGTTCAGTTCAGTGAAAGTTTACAGTCAAACTCTGGAGACTGTACAGTATGTACTGTAGGTAGTACTACTCAATCCACAAGAAATACTTCTAGATCAGCCACACTTTACACCCCCTCATGGAACATCAGTAAAACTGCATTGACAGTTTTATTCAGTTTCGCCCCCAGGTGGACAAATGTGGCATTACAGTGTCCATAAATTGTGGTTTTGGAGTCTGTAGTTTTGCTCAGCACCTATTGATGCCTCTGTGCCTGCATTCACGTAGTGCAGTGGACACTGTAGAAATAATCTGGGTAATTCTACAGAAACGACGGGGAAGGCAGTGGCAGAAAGGTCCAAATAAGTTTGTCTGAGTCTCAGAGTAAGATAGTGAAGATTTCTGAACAACTGCTAAGGTTCCTTTGAGCAAGGTACTTCCTGGAAGGCTGTGGTCATGCTGTGAGGTCTGGTTTGGTGCCACAGGTCTCGAGAACGAGTTAGTGCTAAACGCGGGGGGTTGGACGTTGTCTACAGTTGTGACCTTGAAGAAGAAGGAACACTAGAGGGAGCCCTTTACTCGGGGCTTCACTGGTGTCTCCAGTCTTTGGTTTTGTTCGACCACAGTCGTTGGTGTCCACATTTTTTTGCAGGATGAATGTTGTCGATCCTCCTCAAATCTGTTTCAAAGGAGCCCCCGCCCCTTACTTTGGGACCCACTGCCCTTAAATCACTCGCATTTGTCCAGATACGTGGACGTAAAAGTAAAACACATTCACAGAAAATCCTGATCATTATCCTGCCATCGTGACCTTCTTAAATATTAACTTTTTTTTAAAGACAAATTAGTTTGAAGTAAAGAGCGCCCCCTACAATCAGACTCTGTCACCGCCGTTAACACCCTCGTCTGTGCTGCAGAGACGTTTTCTGAACGTGAACGTGGCGTCGCTCGCAGCCTTTGCTGGAGAACTTTTTGCAGTTGATTTTTTTTAATGTTAATATTCAGTGATATTTCTATAGACTCTGGCCTTTTTTGTCTGTCTATGTCTGACCAACTCAGGACTCGGAAAGACTTTGGAATATACATTAGTATATTAGTATGTATATATATATGTATACGTATATATATATATATACATGTATGTATATATATATGTATATATGTATATATATACTTTTAAAGTTCCTTTAAAAGTTTTTAATCCCAGATGTGTGGTGTTTTCTGAAGCAGTCGTCACTTTTCTACTCCCCTCTCTTTGATAGAAACACATGAGCTTTTGTTTACAACCAGGATGTTTATACATGAGACTGTGCTGCAATATTTGTCTGTGTGTGTGCATGTGTGTGTGAGTGTTTGAAAAGGTCAACAACAAACAGATTCCATCGACTTAAATGTACAATGTTTCCAGTGAAGATGATAAACCTGAAATTTTAAATATTTAAATTTTTATTTTATTTAAAACATAAATCCAATGAAAGACGAAATTTGTCGTTAACGTAAATCCGGTCGTCGAACAAAAGGACAGAAAAGATTTTCTGTGTTTTCATCGACAAAGACGATGATGTGTGAAACCCACTCCCAAATGCTTTTAATTCAGAGCAGAGTCAGGGTCAAGAGGTCATACATTTAACATCATGGGCAGATTATCTATTAACAAAGTAGGTTAATAGTTAGCCTAAGATTAAGTAGAAAGGATGGGTCAAGGTCGCCACCTCATGGAGAACTTTACAAGAGAACTGTGTTTGACATATAAAAGTCTCTGTCACGTCTACAGCTCATAATATTATGAGAACGTTTAACAAGTCAAGAAGAAAAATGGTCAGTGTGTGTGAAGGTCAGTGGCAGAAAGTGCTGCTGAATGTGCATGACCACCGACATAACAGAAAAAAATAAAAGTGAAAACATAGAAAGTCTTTGTTTTCAGGTTGTCCTTCTGCAAAAAAGTGAAATTAAATGACCAAAACACTCATTTTATTTTTTATTTGGGTTTTAAAAAATGTGTTCCAATATTTCTCTGAATTGACTTTGTCTTTGAAATTGTTTTTAATTTATTTATCCCTGGCTGCAGTAGACTTCATTACTTTGTTATTAATGCACAACAATCCAAACAGAAATAATTGTTTTAAATCACAATGTACAAAAATGACATTTCACCAGAAACCAGCAAAGAAGTTTGATTCAGTGAGATCCCAACAATTTTTTTTTTTTTTTTTTTTTTTACAATTTCACTTCTGATGATGCACTGACAGACACAAATCATAAAGAAGCATAAGACTGCTGGTGTTATATTGTGATTTTTTTATCCAAGTCTTAATTTGTACTTGTTTGAAATTTATTAAAAAAATAAAAACCTGATTATCTCATTTATATTATAATTGATTACCTCATTTCTTCAGTTTTACCAGATACCAGGAACAAGAAACAAAATGTTTGCAAGTACGTACATTGCAGATGTCTTACCTGTGTCCTCCGCTAGAGGGAGACAATTACTAAATGCACGAGTTCAAAGCGCGGCGTTCTTTTTATTAAACACAAAGGTAAAAGGACACACATCACACATTTGAAATAAAAAACCCGAAAAAATACTTAAATTCAAGTAAACTCGAAATTACAATCAAAACTCATCAAATTAAACATAAAAAAACAACATTCAACTTTAAAAAAATACTTTGCTGTTGATTTCAGTTACACAAACTGTTGGGCAAAAAAAATGACAAAATGTAATAAACGTGACTGGTTCGGCAGGATGTTGAACGCCGTTTCTTCAGGAAACTAACGCCGTCTGGGAACAAACCTGAGTTTGATTGGTCGCAGCGGCTGAGCCTTCCAGTTAAACTCCAGAGGAATCTGACGGGAGGAAAAACATGAGATATGTCACGAGTGAGTTGATTGATGATTGACAGCCTGGTAGGCGTGTGCTGCTGGTGTGAATCCCACCATGGTTTCTGAGCACGGCTCCACGTTGTACCGCTGCAGGAGACGGACCAGAACCATCTTCACCACCAGCACCGCGTAGCTCAGCCCGATGCAGTTGCGAGGACCGAGGCCGAACGGCATGTAGGCGTACGGGTTCACCTCTTCATCACTGTCCTTATCAAACCTCACACACGAGAACAAGAAAAAAAAATTACCTTCATGCTCTGACATCAGTTGTCGTGAATCGCATTTGACTGTTTTAATTTAAAAGTGATCAACATGTCCAAGTCTTTAAAAATGAAAAAGAAAAGTCAGATGTCCCTCGACTACCACAGAACGGTGTCTTTTTACCTCTCAGGTCTGAACAGCCCCGGTTTGGTCCAAAAACGCGGATCGTGGTGTAAAACGTTAACAGGAACCACAACCGGAGTTCCTCTGGGGATGGTGACGCCGTTGATTTGGAGGTTTTTTTTACACACTCTCTCGAGGTGAGGTAACGGAGGCATCAGGCGCAGGGACTCGCAGATAACCTGGTCCAGGTACTGAAGACGGAGCAGGGCCTCGTATGGAACCGGTGACTAGAGTCGGAGAACAGTCAGGGTCAGTTCTGAGAACACGTTGTAGGAAAAAAACATAATGAAATGACAATGCGCTCTCTACATCTGCGGGCAGACTGCCGTCGATTTCTCGCTGCAGTTTGTTCATCACGGCAGGGTTGGTGGCCAGGTTGTACAGGGTGTTGGTGAGGGTGACACTGGTGGTCTCGTAGCCTCCGTAGATGAAAATAAAAGCCTGGGACAGAATCTCGTGTTCAGTCAGACCTACAAAACCAAAAGGTCAAAGGTCAGACAGTCACAGGAGCAACAGACGAGAGGACAAAAAAGGTCAAAGGTCAGACAGTCACAGGACCAACAGTTGTAAGACAAGAGGACAAATAAAAACAATTACGGATTTTAACACGCGTATTTGTCTCCCTCTAGTGGAGACTAGACGCAAATATCTGAAATCTGAAATCTAAGAATGACAAACAGATGGACCAGAGCTTCGTCACATGAATGAGAAGTGCACCTTCACTGGGCTGATCCTGTTCTCTCTTTATCTCCGTCTCTGGAATTTGGCTCTGGATCATCACCTGCAGGAAGTCGACTCCACTCTGGTGCAACACAGAACAGTCAGCATCAACCTGTTAATGTGACTGACATGGGGTCAAACTATGATGTCATTCATCGGGGTTGGAACTAACTCCAGACAGTTCCACTACTGACACTGTTTCACAGGTCCAGTGTGAAGTACTCACAGAGTCGTCTGTACTGCGCTGGTCCTTCAACCTCTGGATGGTGTCGTAAAAATAATCCAAACTCTTCATTGGAAGCACGTCAAGTTTCAGAAGTTTGAACAGGAAGCCGATGAAAGGAAAAATCTCTGGAAAGAGAGACAAAAATGTTGGTGCTGTAACGGTGGACGTGAGTGAAGGTCGACGCACACGAGGGACAAAGTTTAGTGACATTTGGATGATTTTTACAATTTAGTTTTTAGCTTGATTTGATGCTATCTTTTTTCTTTATATCCAACTAAAATGTAGCTCTTGCTACTTCCTTTTGCTGTTTTTGTTATATTTATTAATTGACAATTGTTTGAAAATATTTGTTTGTGGGCTGCAGTGTCAGTGCTGGACCTGCAGGGACATACTGAGCAGCAGGAAAGGCCAGACTTTGAAGTTCACGATCTTCTCCAGATGAACATTCATGGGGTCGTGGGGGTCGTTCAGGGCGTTAGCCTCGATACCAAAAGAAGCGCTGGTCACGACATCCAGACTGAACGGAGCCACAAACCTGTCACAGGACGAAGAGAAGACAAAAGAACTCGTTCAGTTTGTTCACTGAAGCCGGATACTGTTACCAGTTCCCGTTCACCCACATTCACGCTGCTCCCAGTGGTGAACCTGAGCGCCAACCCTGACCGCTCTCACTCTCAGGCCACGTCACATGATTTAATACGAGAAACAAAAAAGAGAAACAAAAATCCCGTACTGTTTGACATCAACGGCCTCGTCCTCTGCGACTCCTTCAAGTTTTTTCAGAAGTCGGTCGGCGTACGGCGCCACCGAGGGAAACAGCTGGAACAAACAAAAGGGCTGGTGTCAGGTTGGCTTTTTTTTTTTTTTAATGGTGAAGATTTGGTTACTATGGCGACGAGGAAGAGAAATTCTCTAAAGACTCTGCTCCAACAAAAGTCTTTCCTGCAGATTTCCATCAGAGCAAAAGGCAGTGAACAAAAGAAGTGAAGATGGGTGGAGTGGGTGGAGACCAGTGTGACAGTGGAGCGTCCACAGATAAGGTTCTGAACCTAAAAACTATTTTTAACGACCAGTGTACATCCAATAATCCCACCATCCAGTCAATGGTTGCTGCTCTAACACACACTCAATGTTCCGGGACTGACAGAAAAACTGATTTCTCAACGTGTCGAAGTCTCAATTAATCGTGATTAATCTAGAATAATCCCTCACCACCCTATGAATAGATCTAATCTATACCCTGACCCTAATTCTAATCCTAACCCCGAACCACATCTTGATCCTCAAAATACCCTGCCACTCATGGGGACCTAAGAAAAATGTCCAAAAAAGGAGTGAATTGTCGACTCCTTGTCTGAAACGTTGACTTCCTCATATGACGACGACCCAAAATAGTTTAATATGCAAAGAGTCCCCGACAAACTGGACTTTGAACTTCTGCACTGTTATTGCCACACCTCCACCCACGGCCGGGTCAGTATCAGACACGAGCACACACAGGAAACAGGAAGTGGTAATGACTGACAGGAGTCAGATAAAGCAATGAGGTCAGGACCTGCTCTAGTCGTTCGCTGGTGAAACACGGAGTCAAAGTGCGACGAATCCGCTTCCAAGTGTCGTCTTTGACCAGGGTGATGGCGTCGGCCAGGGGTCCGGCTGCAGGGTGGTCCTGCAGGGGAGAAATTCATTCAGTTCATCTTTCATTCTCTATTTATTGAAATTTATTGTTATATTTTTTCCATCATCTTATGGTCATAGCAGAGCTCACTATCATCTGTCGAAACCTTCCCTCCTCAACATCTTTTATATCACTGACCTGACATCTAACCGCTAACCCTTCCCTCACCTCCTCACCTCCTCACCTCCTCACCTCCTCACCTCCTCACCTCCTCACCTCCTCACCCCCCCTTTTCTCTTCCTTGTTGTTTCCACCTTGGCTCGGCTCAGCTCTCCGTTCCTCTGACACCGTCTCCTTTATTTTTTGTTCTACTTTTTCCTTTTCCTCTTTCTGAATTTCCCTGCTGTTTCAATGGAAGCTGCACAAGCAAAAATATGCAAATTCCCGTCTGCATCCTCCTCCGACACAGCAGGGTTTCACCAGATCCCAGTTCAACTCTCACCCTGCGGTTGGTGAAGCTGGAGTAGCACTCCTTCACCATCACCGTCTCGATGATCTTAGGGTCGGCCACCATCAACACTGGTGACCGGGCGTCGTACAACCTGCAGGGACCACAGTACAGTCATGAAGTAAAGATTGGTTTTTATGGTGTTTACATTTATGGAGACAGGAGCGGGAATGAGTGTTTTTCCAATGAATTCAACACCTTTTTGATTAAGACTGAGCTCCTGAACGATTAATTCAATTAAATTAATTCAAATTAAAAATGTGTTTATCTTTGTTTTTAGTGCAACATCACTTGTATATGTAAGTACAGAGTCTTGGATGATGCGTGATGACAAAACAAAAAGTCCTTTTTACGACATCATCATGAAGTAACCTGTCCCTGTAACTTGTAACTTTCTGTTTTATTTTAATCTATGATCATTTACATTTTCAAATTTGATCATTTTCTCATTTCAGAGGCGAAAAAAAAAACATACAAGTCGAACTCTAAACGATATTTATCCAGAATTCTACTGAAAATATTCACGTCATCTGCAAAGAATAGCACCTTTAATGCCATAATGATTCCATCACAGTTTGCTGTTAAACAACAAACCACATCAAATGTACGGTGGGAGCAGCGACTCACCCCCACATGTCCCCGTACTGGGCTTGGCTCTCGCGGTGGAACCTATAAATCCCCTGAACAAAGCAAACCAGATACGTCAGATTACAAACGAATGTCATCGTCAGACACAAGATGAGACATGTCGAGGAGTGACACGGCTGAGTGAGTCAACCAAGACTTCACTGTCATCATGGAAACATGATGAGAACACTGACAAAAAAAAGGAAAAACCATCCAGTCAAACACCAAGCCCCAATCAGCCAATTAAGGAGGCAGTTTATTCCTCGACTGTACCTTTTTAAAGTAGTGAAGAGTTCCAATAAACGGCCGAGGTCTCGGTCCTGGGATCCCCAGACGTTTGAAGAACCTATAAGGCCAGATGCTGTACCTGTTTTGTTTTTTTGTTGTTGATTAAAAAAAAGGAGAGAAAAAAAAAGAAAAGTGTCTTGTAATGTGATACGCCGTGTGCAGGTGTCATAACAGAGTGTGAGTGACATTAAAGTGTCAGACGGGAGGTGAAGCAGGCAGTGAAGTACTCACAGGTAGCAGAGGCTGGAGAACAGAGCCACCAGAGTCCAGGTGGCTGCAGAGAAGAATGGGAAGACGAACATTTCTGACTGTCCCGGTTCAGAGCTCCACACACACTGTCTGAGAAATGAGGAAGTGTTCAAGGCTGCCGCATAGTTTCTCAGAGAGTGAATACCTCTGGCAGCATTTACACAACAACATTTACATACTCAACTGTACGCCCCCTCCCCACTCTCTTCCCTCTCCTCCCCCACCGCCCCCAGGCGAGGGAGAAGTTTCATTCTTTCTTTTTATCTTTCTTATAAACATACCTTGACGGAAAAAAAAAAGCAACAAAGTTATATTTAACTCTAAAGAGCAGGGCGGGTGTTGAATTTTACGTCATAGAATTATAAGGAAGTTATGAGTAATTTATTAGACTAAAAGTGAAACCAATAGTTGACTAGATTTTATATCATTAAACAAATTTTGGCCGTATATGAAGAGGATTGTCAAAGGATGGCAACTCCTGGCTAAAACAAAACCAATAGTTGACTAGATTTTATATCCTTAACCAAATTTTGGCCGTATATGAAGTGGATTGTCAAAGGATGGCAACTCCTGACTGACAGTAGCAGACGAGGCTAAAGTTAGCTAAGAATGAACTAAGAGAAGCTAAAAGATTGCTAATGGTTAGTCACCAGAGACAAAGAGAGAATTTGGAGGAAATGACATCAAAATAGTCAAATGTTAACAGCAGTAGTGATACTTGCCTTGTGACCAGAATTGGTTTAAGTAACTAAACTTGTGACATAATACCACAAGGAGAAAAAAAAACGCAGGTGGAAAAGAGGGAAACTTTGGGATGAAAAAAAAGATCAAAATATTCTAATCTAATCTAATCCATAAAATTGGTGATAATCCATGTAGACATGACCAGAAAAAATGTTCATTTTATTTAGAAAAGTTAGCCAAGAAAAAGAAATAATAAATAAAGAGAGAAATAATATTTCATCACTTTTCAGTACTGCAAATAAAATTTATTATTTTTCCCATAGCCTTCATCTTAATTCATTATATATATTTATATTTTTTACCAGAATTTAAAGCCTTATAAATCCTGTTTTTAACAATTAGTATTTCTTAGCTATGTTTTTTTTTAAATGTATTAAATTTATGTCAGGGTTTTACTATAAATTCACATTCACAGTTGCTTCTGTTCCCTGTTCCCTGCATGACACTTTGACATTTTTTAAAATATAAAAATGTTTGTGCAGACAACATTGTATCAAAGCAGAAATAAAACCAACAACCATAACTTATTTATTATTTTATTTCAGTTTGTAAAAACATAAACTACTGTATTCATTTGTTACATTGTACTTAAAAAAAAAAGAAATTTAACTTCATTTAACTTGTTCCTGTAAATATTGCAAGAAGAATCATTTAAAAATGTTTTTACTGTTTATTCATATGAGATAATACTCTGAGGATTATTGCTGATTAACAGTCAGATACAGGCGTCACAGGTGTTACAGGTGTTACGCTGTGGCACAACGTTCGTTTGATTACGACAGGCGTCTGGGGACAAACTTGAGTTTGATCGGTGAACTCGGCTGCTGCATCCAGTTCAACTCCAGAGGAATCTGGAGGAAGAAGAAAAACGACATCAGATCAGGGACGAGAGGCAGCGTTAGACGCTGAATTTGACCATGGACTGTAAATAAGATACGGACTGATATGGATATGGCATATAATCATGGCATCCTGTTGAGAGTTTTCAAAATGTAATTTTTGTATATTATTACACTGATTTAAATGTAAAGACAATAAAGCCCACTGGGTGGCAGTATGTAAGGAATAACTCCCCAGGTGCCCCTTCCAAACATTCCACATTAGAGACACTTCATTTTGTCCGACCATCCATGTGGTGGGGTAGCCACGGCCAATCCCAGCAGTCGAGGGGTGAGACCCTGAACAGTTCCCCAGTCCACCACAAGGGGCCGTATAGAGCTTATTTACACTTTTATTCATGTCCATTTAGAGTTTCCAATCAGCCGAACTCCTAAACCAGACGTTTTGGTGGTGGGAGGAAACCTTTATGCAGATGATGTGTTTATCTCTATGTTGAAGTATTTTAATGTTATCTTTGTAAACTGGTCTAAAACTGTAAGACCTCCTCTTCGTGTGGTGGTCCACGCCTTACAGTCGGTCTCTCACCATGGTGTCTTTACAGGTCTCCACGGTGTAACTCTGCAGGAGTCGGACCAGGACCATCTTCATCACCAGGACCGCGAAGCGCATCCCGATGCAGTTACGAGGTCCCAGGCCAAACGGAATGTAGGCGTATGGGTTCACCTCCTCATCGCTGTCTTTACTGAACCTACACACACACACACACACACACACACACACACACACGGAGAGAGAAAAAACACAAATATTAACGTTGGGTTTTTTTAGTCAAGAATGTTTTTGTTTTTTTGCTTGAAAAAATATTTTCCACAAATATTAAGAGGTTGAACAGCTGAACGTGGCTCTTCAACCAGCCAATCGTTACAGACCGCTTTTCTAGACCCGCCCAGTTGTCTCTAAATGGTTACGTGTGTCCAGAAAAACCAATGAATGTCACTAGATGGCAGCATTGCAGCTCATTTTATGAATCTTTAATTTTAAGAATCATAATAATTATACAGGGGAAACTTCTGTCCTCTAGGGGGGGCTTGGCGGAAAACAATTGAGAAACACTGCTTTATCGGTATCGGTTGATATTGGAATCGGAAATTAAGTGTTTAGACAATATCGGCCTATCGGATATCGCAATTGAGAAACACTGCTTTATCGGTATTGGTTGATATCAGCAAAACTTGAATATCGGAGATTACCTCTCAGGTCTGAAAAGTTCAGGTGAGCTCCAGAATCGTGGATCTTTGTGCAACAGGTGTGTGGGAATCCCAACGATGGTTCCCTCGGGGATAGTGATGCCGTGGACCTGGACAGTTTTTTTGCACACCCTCTCCAGCCGAGGAGCGGTGGGATGCAAACGCATGGACTCCAAAATGACCAGGTCCAGGTACTGCAGGTGATTCAGGGCGTCATATGGGACGGGGGCCTGAGGATCGACCAATCAGACAGACAACAGCCTGATTATTAAAGGGAACTAAGCTGGGCCAGAACAGTGGTGGTCTGGGAAACAGGAAATTGTACATAAGCTGAGCTTCAACAGAGTTTAATACACGAGAACAGGAGCTGTTGTTAAAAAAACTGATTCTCAACGACATAACATGAACCAGGGGTTTGGCCACTTTGAGTCAGTGGAACCTGAATGTGTCATGTACAGTCTTACGTCTCTCTCCAGGCTCTCGTCAATTTCTTGCTGCAACTTGTGCATTGCCTCCGGGTTGGTGGCCAGAGAGTACAAGATGAACGTCAGCGTCACACTGGTGGTCTCGTAGCCACCGAATATAAAGATTATGGCCTGAGTGAGGATCTCGTGCTCCGTCAAACCTGCAACGACAAAAGACTTAAATTTTCAATAATTACCAATTTCAGACTTAATTGACGATTATTGACAACTGTTCTTGACTACTAACTGAGTCGATTTGTTAAGAATGTGGTAAAATATCCCTGTGTTGACCTTTGCTCGGCTGCTCTTGTTCATTTTCAATCTCCGACTCTGGAATCTCGTTCTGAATCATCAACTGCAGGAAGTCGCCACGACTCTGGGGAAACACAACAGCATTCATAGCTAAATATCTGCTAGGACAGCTGTACTGTATACACACACACACACACAAACACACACATATATAGCCTGGATTTATTGATTGATTGATTAATTTATCTTTAAAAAGAAAAATCCCACCTAAAAATAAAATACTTAAAAATGCTATCATCAAGTTTATAAATGACAATATTGTTTAATCCCCCTTAAAAATAAAGCACTCCAAACCGACATCACAGTTTTTATCTTGCACACCCCCTAGTGGCAGCTTGCGCACCCACACTTTTTGGAAATGTGGCATGCGTTTTCCAAGTTTATAAATGAGAATATTGTTTTATCAGAACAGTAAGATAACTCAGGGACTTACCGTCTCGTCCTCCATGTGGTCTTTTTTAAACTTTTTTATAATGTTGTAGAAATAGTCAATGCTGTGTGTGGGCATTACGTCGTAGTTCAGGCGTTTCAGCAGACGACTAACGAAGGGACACACCACTGACAAAAACAATTAACAACAACAACAAAAAAGCTGTTAAAAGTGTCTAAAAATGAATCACAGAAATGGATGGAGAACTCACTTAGAATGAATATGGCAAAGAAGTTTATCTTTATAATTTTTTTCAGATGAACAATCATTGGGTCGTCCGGTCTGTTCTGGGAATCTGCTTCAACACCAAAGGAAGTGCTGGTCACCACGTCCAGACTGTAGGGAGCGAATAATCTGTGGCAGAGAAACGAAAAGGAAAAGTTCTGTTTTTTTAAAAAATCATAATGAAATGTTACAGTTTCCAGGTCAGTAGAACTCACTGTTTAACGTCAACAGATTCGCCTTCTTTCAGCTTTCCCAAGTTCTCAACCAGTCGATCTGAGTAGCGAGCCACGATAGGATAAACCTTAAAGAAAAAAAAGTACAACCCAAAGATTAACGTGGTCCTTTAGTGAAATGTATTTTATTAAAAAAAATATTTTTAACAAAGGTTTGTTTAAACATTTTGAAAGATAATTTAGGGAAATATTTAAGGGCGTTTTTTTTTTTTGGCCAAAATTGCTACAATATTTTTGTTAACTTTGCAGCTAACTGTTTAAATTTAGGGAAATATTTAAGGGCGTTTTATTTTTGTTTTGGTCAAAATTGCTGCAATATTTTTGTTAACTTTGCAACTAACTGTTTCGCTTCTTCTTCGCTAACTTTTTGTCATCTATTAGAACACCTTTCTTTGTGCTTTAATAATATCTTTGCCACTAGCTTCTTTGTTACAGTGTGGCTAACTATTCAGCTAGTTTTCTGTATTTCTGCCTAACGTGACTTTTTATTTATAGTTCTTGATCAACTTTAGCTTTATTTGCCGCTACCTGAATTGAACTCTTAAATTCCCAGTCCTGTGTCGGAGCGAAAATCCCACCTGTTTTAATCTCCCACTGGTAAAACATGGAGACAAAGTGTTGCGGATTCGCCTCCACCTGTCGTCCTTAACTACTGTGATGGCGTCGTCAAGAAGCCCCTCCCCAAAGGCTTCCTGTTAACAGTTCACACAAGGAAGCTGTTAAATATTACACACACATGAAGATATATTTTCATTTAAACATTTTCATGGACAGCAAAACCAGGACATTTTGTTTTTTACCCTGCGGTTGGTGAAGATGGAGTAACATTCCTTCACCAACACCGTCTTTATCATCTCTGGGTCTGTCACCATCAAGTTTGGCCTCCGCCCATCGTACAACCTTGTACAAAAAGATGATGAAGAATTAGTCAAATTTGTAAACCTTGTTATATTTTTAAAAATTTACACAAATTAAGACCAGGTATTGACTAAATTTGATCACTTCTATTACTACTAATAATAGGCTTATATTGATCTCATTAAACATTAAAAGATATTTTGGTCCAATTAAAGACTTCTGACACAATCTTTAAAAATGAAGCCACTTACCCCCAGATATCTCCATATTTTTCATGACATTCCCTGTCAAAGACACTAATCCCCTGTAAGGGAAGTGTTCAGGACATGAATTATCAAGTGTTGAGACCAACGAAACTCACACAAAAAAAGAAGTCAGGATACTTTTAAAAATTGGACGATGTTGTTGGTTCATACCTTTCTGAAGTGAAGCAGCGTTCCCACAAAAGGGAAAGGTCTGGGTCCTGGTATTCCTAGGTTTTTGAAAACACTATATGGCAAAATGCCGTATCTGTAAGAGAAGAAAAGAAAAAGGAATGCAAGTTTGGTAAAACTATTGCAACACCACACCACTGTGAGTGCTGCGGTGTCTTTCTTTCCTCTTGAACCTTCAGTGGACTAATCTGACTAATCTGACATTTGAAATCTGAAAGTTGAGGGGAAGGAGGGAGAGAGAGGGAGGAGGAGAAGAAACGTCAACTTACAATAGGAACAGGGTGAAAAAAAGAACCAACAATATCCAGGTAACAACTGAAAACAACGAGAAGTCAAACATGTTGGCTGTGGAGAGCCTGCACTTCTCCTCAGACTGTGTGAGCCAACAGGAAGTATGGGGAAAAACAAAGCACGTAGAGTGGGAGGAATCTGGAGCCGGGGGTGGAGAGAAATGACACCTCCCACTTAGATTATAAGAATGTCTTTACATTTGAATGATTGTGTTTGAGAGTTTGAACAAATGGGATGTTTTAATTTCTTAGCAGTACATATTCATTCATTTGATGTATTTAAAATTAAGAACAAAAAATGATTACTTTTTCTGTGTAGAAATTGAGTAACACTTCAAAAACTGAAACATAACAGTGAATGTGGTCAGAAAATAATGTGTAGATGCTTCAAACCATCTGGGACTGGGAATTGTATTAGGTTAAAATCACATATTTGAAGGAAAATGTTTATGTTAATAATGTATAAAAATATATTCCTTAATGTGAGCACACCAAAGTGTATTGTTTTGTTGATCTTATTTTTCTGAGAACCATTTACAGAAGGGCAGAGTGACTGTAACATTGTGTAAACCAGGAAAATTAGCTGATGTCATAATATTGAGGAACGTTGTTATCTGACCAGATTCGTATTGCTCAATAAAGCTGTAATTCACATGATGTCAACTTGTATTCTTTAAAACTCTTGTTGTTTTTTTAAATAACGCATTTTGTCTTAATGTGATTGTGTTGACAAACTGTATCTTCACAAAGCTGTAATTAATAGTAAATAACTGTTTCCGTAAATAGACGACATGAATGAAACACAGATAATTCAAACCACAAAAGTAATTATCTGGTCCAATTACGATAAACATAACCGCTAGTTTTGCCTAATTAGTTTTATAGATAAACATAAAACTTAATGATTACGTTTTAGTTATAGTTAACGTGTCACCGGAAGCTATTTCAACTTTCTCTGTCTTTGGACGTAACCCGGAAGTACTGCTGTCGACGTACTCTCATGCAACACAATTTAAACTACATTTGTGTTTCCGTAACGGTTTTTTGTTATTTTTTTAATTAAGATTTTGTAAAGATACTTTCTACTGTCAGTGGAAGGAGGAAAGGTAAATAAAAGTGTGTTTTGTTGCTTTATTTTGAATAGAGAAGTGCATTTGTTCTCATGCCCTTGATCGATAGCACGAGGCTAGAGCTAAGCTAGCTTTATGTAGTTCTCTACAGACACTGTCTCGTTATAATTTAAAGATGAACTAGTGTTTTTATATTAAAAATAATCCCAAACGATTCAGTCTAACACCGCCGATTACGTTTAGTGGTTCAGCATTTAAACACACACGTGTTACCATGTCTTTTGTGAGCCAAAGCTTTAGCTTATAGCTAAAACATTAATATACCGACACTATTTAATATCCGTATCCACATGTAAACATTATTGAGACTCTGAAATATATATATGAGAACAAATGTATTATTAATGTTATTACTATTACGGACAACATGTTTATGATGAATGAATGAGAGTTGAACATTTTGATAGGAAAACGACAACATTTTAAATACTTTGTCATATATACTGTATATATTTGTGTATTTATATAAATATATATAATAACATATATATGCAGAGGTATTTTAATGTTTCATAGCTGTTTATTATTTAACCTTTATTTAAAAAAAATAGGGAAAAGGAACAGCTTAAGTCGAAGAAGAGTCAGCGCTCATTCAGGAACACTAGGGTTTGTACACAACTGTCTGTCTCATTGTTAAGTTTCTCTTTCATTGCTTAAAATGGTACACACTGTAGCTGTTCATATGTTTATGGTGAAACTACAGTTGCAGTAAAGTTGAGCAAATGTGTCAAAGTGTCACATTATCAGTGGGTAATGTCCGGTGAATCACAGTTTATTGGGTTGAAAATAGGTCAACGACACTTCACTGGAGTGTGGAGGATGAGATAATGGATGAGCTCAGGAGTATGTAGGGACAAGACTGTAAAACAGACAAGTCCAAACATGGTCCAGATGGTGACAAAAAATGGCAAAACACCATTTAATACACGATATTTAGAGATAGCTAAACGTTGACCAAGAAATTACCTAGTGGTAAGGATGGGCATAGTTTTACTAAATTAACATTTTTTGATTAATAATTTTGAATCAAAGTTTGAAAAAACAATGTTAGCCCTGAAAAGTCTAGAAAGTATAGCAGGGTAAGCTCGCCATCAGCCAATACTTCACAATATCAATGTTTTATTATTATTATTATTATTATTATTATTATTTTTCTCTTACAAAGGAAACTCTGCCACCATGTTCCTGACGCTGGCGCTGCTGCGGAAAGGAATACCTGGCAAACAGTGGATTGGAAAATATAGACGACCGCGGAACATCACGTGGCAGATGAAACGCAACACGCTGCAGCGTCTGGAGATAGAGGCCGAGAACGAGTACTGGATCAGCCGCCCGTACATGACCGAGGAGCAGGAGCACCGCCACGCGGCGGAGCGTAGAGCAGAGAACTGGAAGAAGATCAAAGAGGCTGGTTTCTGCAACTTTCCCGAGCACAAGAACTGGACAGATCATCTGAGTCACCTCAGGATCACCAAGTCGTGGTCCAGTTAGTGTTGACTGTGGAGTGACATTCGGAGACGTTCTTGTGGTAATGTCCCGATACACGTCGGCTTCTCAAACGAGGCCTGTTTGATTTGTCAGGATCTGTGTTGTATTATAATAATAATAAAAAAGTGTAATTATTGTTTATTATAATAATAATAAAAAAGTGTAATGAAAAAGTGTCATGAAAAAGGTTTCCTGGACCTTGTTTCGCTTCATTCCTGGATTCTTGACAACTCGTTGTCCCTGTGAGTTCACACTCAGTCACTGGTGTAAAGTCTGTGATGGCAGGTGGAGGTTAAGATGGTGTAATGACTCTGTGATGTCACCACGAGTTTGACCCCGTGTTAAACTCATTTTTATTTCAGGAGTCATTTATGACAGCTGATAACAGACTGCCTTATCATAACATTTGAATTTCAGACAGCACAGCTATCACTCTGAATAAACACACACAAAAAAACACACTAAGTACAAAGCTTTCTGAATTCTTACATCAATATTATATATATATAAATAACATTTTTATTATTGTTTTATTCAAAGCTTTCTGAATTCTTACATCAATAATATATATATAACATTTTTCTTACTTTTTTATTATTTTTTGGACTGCTTTTATCTCTTTTGCAGCCAATTTTTTTTGTTTTATTTCTTACAATTCCTTAGCATTTTTTAGCCTCCTTTTAAGCTATCTTCTGACTTTATGATGTTTTTTAATGTATATTTTGTTAAATATGCCATTCTGATTTTTGTGTATTTTTTAAAATGTTTTTTGAGGCACTTTGTATATTTTAAAATATTCTTTTGCCAATGCTTTCAGTGGTTTTCTCAGACCTCTTTTAGCCAAATCTACCCATCTCTTAGCCTAACTGTTAGCTAACTTTAATGCATTTATGGCCAACCTGAAGTTTAGACAGGAATTCAGTCCATCTTTTCAAAGAACAAGAAAATTTTATTTACGTGGCATCCTAACAAACTCGTTACCCAGCAGGTGTCGCTGCAGGTCAGAATGTGGGGAAGCGTCAGAAGGAGCAACCCCTTCGTCTCCTCATCCCCCTCCGTCCCCCTCCGTCTCCTCCGCCTGTTACTGCTGAGTCCAGCCCCTGTTTTCCTCTGCTGGATGATGATGTTGGTGAGGAGGTGCGTGGAGAGAGGCGCCAACAGCATCACCAATAGGAGGAGGAGGAGATAGCTGCTGAGAGGAGAGGAGAAGAGCAGGCAGACGGTGTGCTCCTGCACCTCCACATCCACACTTTCTCCCTCTTACGGACACACACACACACACAACAT